GAACTAATTAACAATGAAAACAGGATGCAGAGCAGAGATATTAAGGAATTCAGCTCAAGGAGCTCAACACCGATGGAGTAATTCATAGAATCACGGAATGTCAGGGATTGGAAGGGACCTTGAAAGATCACCTAGTCCAACCCCCCTGCCAGAGCAGGAACACCTACAGTGGGTCACACAGGAACACATCCAGGAGGGTTTGAATTTCTCCAGAGAAAGAGACTCCACAACTCCTTTGAAAAAGATTCGGGCAAAGGCTCAAACCAAACCATCGATTATTTTTCCTACTATTCCTAAACCTCCTGGACATTTAATTCATCTCCTTTCCCGAAACTAAAAGCAGTGGTATTGTATTTGGCAGCTCTGGGAACTGTATATTCTAACAAAGGTTTTATCAATAAATATTTTAGAAGCAATATCATACTGGGAGAAAAGGAGTTTGAAATCTTTGCATAGCAATATTTTCATGAACTAACTGACAATTGCTGATTTCCTTTTCAGTTACACGTGCATAAAAGGTACTGAAACCCAGTCTGGGCTTAGTCTGTATATTATTTTTTATTTTAAATAAAGGTTACTTTCAGGGCTACTGTCATTTGTAGTCAAGGAAATTTTCTGAAACCTTAGAAATGCTGACAAGCCTCAACCAAAAGAACTTAACAGCACCATAATTTTTCTATACATAACAAGGTCATAGTAAACATTTTTCTTGCTGTCCAAAAACCTACTTTATTGTGGGGTGGAAATGTTTTATTTATAAACACAAAAGTAACAGCATTTGCCAAGGACACATCCAAAAAAACTTATGCAGAAAACCTACAAAATATCTGTAACAACTTTACCATACTCATATTTCAGAGAAGACCTTTCCAAATGAAACTGTGAACTTAAAGTTTATCTATTTGTGTAATTGTTTCTTGGTACCACAAAGAATTGTGACAAACGGTTTTGTCCCTAAAAGGATTATAAACCTGCTGAATCATGAGAAAATACGTACAAGTTATTTGACAAATTACTTGTATTATGTCAGAAAGTTAAAGCCACATTTAGGAAGTTTGCTGCAAAGCGGCCTAGAATAATGTAAATATTAAATTTTGTCACTTGGATGATTTTCAAATTAATTCTTATGGTAGAATGACTTTGAGAACCTGCATCACTATTTTTGAACTGCCTTACTACTTAGTGAAACCTTTCTGTTAATGACAGTACCTTGGACAAATTTACCCCTCCTGTGTCGACAGGAAGCTATTTGAAAAGTTAAGCTACAATTAAGTATCACTTGGGATCCTTTCTAACTGAATTTTATCATATCTCTCCTTTTCAATGCATTTTACAAGGTTTGACAGGAGAATGTGGAGGTACCGGGATTTAGAGAGAACAAAGCCATGAATGAACACAGTGACAGGAAGGAGGCTTGCTGGTTCTATAAGCTGTGAAAAGTCAGTGTGATGGTCTGATTTCCTTTCTGTTGACTACAAGTGGTATGGTCTTCATTGAAATTCATTCCCCAAGGAAGTGCAGCGGTAGAAGAAACATCCTTTTGGCATATAACAGGCTCTAGCCTTTCAACTGAGCAACGCTGATGCAATACACAGCACTCAACACCCACAGGTTGCCAACAACTACATCAAGAAACAAAGAAAGAAGTTGAGATGGTCTAAGAAACTTCCTGCTTTGTCCTGCTATAACTTTGCCCTCAAATCTAACTCTGTTTTGCAACACCAAAGGAACAATAATAACAGCACCATACCCTGGTCTTGTTTCATTGTGTGGAAAATGAATTCTGTTTCTTGCAGTACCCACTTGGAAGGTGTATCAGTGTACATCTAATGTGATGCATTAAGATGTGTTGCCTTTAAGTTTTCTTCACCCAAGAAACAGTGTTGGTCACCTGTGATGACACACTAACCCACCCACACTCTCCCGAGGTAAAAACTTTTGATAACTTGTGTTTGATACTATCTTCTACTCCATTTCCTAAGTTACATCATACTTTTTTTTTTGTTACTACAGCATGTTTTAAAAATTTCCTCAAAGTCCTGAGCCATAAAAAATTGGGACTTTCTTTTAGAATTTAGATTATATAGACTTGACAATGCTTATAAAAAATAAAACAAACAAATTTTTCTGTTATTCCTTCCTTTATTTCAACTCTGCCCATCCTAATTCCCGCCCTGTGCTCTCCCGTTGAGTAAATACATTGTCATCTGATTGGCAAAGAAGATTTTTGCATATTTGTGTGCAACAGATAGGAAAAAACAACAATAAAGTTCACTACCAACTTTACACTTCAGATAGAAGATACACTAAGTACCAGCTGACCCCAGCTAAAATAGAAAGCACGTACAGAACAGACGTAACGTACGATTTTTATGCAGATCCGGAGCGATAAACTCCACTCTGATACAGCAAAAGGAAGTTCTGCTGGAGTTAAACAATGAATTACACATCTATTTAAGGGAACAAAATGGTCCTTTGACTTGCAAAATACATTTTCCAGAATTTTCCCTGCAACTTCAGACTTGGAATGGGTCGGTGGGGGTGCGTGGGTGTGCGCATGTGTGTGCGCAAGCAAAGCTTACTCATAAATCCTGGGAGAAACGCTTCCAAGGAAATGAACTGCCACCCTCTCTTTCCTTCCTCTCTCTCCCTCCTCCCCCTCTTCATAACCTTAACCTTACAGAATGTGATAATTTTTTTTATTATAACTCACTGGGAGTAATATTTGGGAATGAATCCAAGTTGTCTTTGTTTATTTAATACTCTGAAATGCAGGAAACAACTCCTCAGCTGATGGAAGTTTAGAGTATTTCTTGGGTTCTTAAGATGATGGCTAACTTCCTGAACAGCTAGCTACCTACTGGGCTGCTTCCTACATGAAAAACTGACATTACAGTGATTTCCTAATTAATATTCCTGAGTTTTTAGAGCTATCACCCCAGCTTTCATTTTTCTATTTCTTTTTAGTTCATAGAGTTTCTTGACTCAAGATGTGTTGAATGAGATCCTCCCACTTCTGAAGGGAAATACTCCATCGCTGGCTTAAATACACAAAGACTTGACCAAGGTCCATAAACTCACAGTGTATATTATACATTTACAAAACCTGCAAAATTCCAAAATGAGTTGTTTACCTGTTACTTCCAGTTTGTCACCAGTGACTTCAGCTTTCAGATAAATCCTTCCTCTTTTCTCTGTGTGATCCATGCCACAGAGGCTTGGGACATTTATTACGCATTGCTTATGAACATTCATATCACAAGCTGTGGATATAAAAATGGTTCAGACAATTATGAGAAGTTAATAAAATGATTACACTGCAAACAGTGAGCAAAGTGAAAGTTAAGATTGCAGTGCTTAACTGTTGGCAAGACTTTCAGATTACAGCTGCATGTTTTTCAACTGAATGACATGGCTAGTTTCCATCTTACAAGACATTCTGCAGCCAGTGAATGAAATGGAGAAGAAAATAATTTACTTCAGAAACCTAAAGATACATTAATGAAGTGCAAGGAAGGAAAAGTGAAAATGGAATAAAGACTTGCTGGCAACATGACTAAGAAAACAGAGCATTCGTGACACCGTTAGCAGTGAAGGGAGTTAGGTTTAAATTGATTATTAGATTTTCTAGCAGGAGACTTTCAAGACAAATGAAATGCAAGGAAAATATTGGACCTTGGCTACCAAGCAAACTGAAATTTCAGTTTTCAACAGTGTATTCACCTGACCAGTGCAAAACCAGCCTTCCTCAAAACTGCCATGGCAAATGCCCTTCAGCCACATCAAACTCAATACACCATGTTCTCAGCAACAGAGGTGATTTTCATTAGTATATATTATAGTACTGAAATATCCACTTGAAATATAACAGTACTATAAATAGCTGACATTTGAAACGGGATTTTCCACAGAAAAGAAATAAGAAGCTCTTACCCAGTGTTTCCACTTACTTTCTAAAATACTCTTTTAGTAACACAGAAAAACTTCACTTACTGTCACATTTCATCCCTTGGTGCAGAAGCCCGTAAAGCAGTGACCCACAATGGTCACAAAAGGTTGGGCTCCCATATGTGTGGATCTTAAACTTGTGCTTGCTTCTGGGATCCTGAAGGAAAGAAACAGAAAGAGATGTCTCAAACCATAAAAAATAAGATTGCCACATCTTTAATACATGACTTCAAATATCAAAAACTTTCCAGCTCTGCAACATATGCTACAGAAAAATATATTCCAGCATGTGGCTTATTCACAACCCTTATAGTGATACCTACACTGGTGCAGGGACATTGGCCTCAGTTCCTATTTTTCCTTTGCTTTGGTGTTGGAAGAAAGAATATGTCAGCTCAGAGAACACGGGCTTGTTCCTGTGATTCATCTGCACTACAACTTCCATTTACAGACTGTACATATACAGAAAGTATAACGATGGTATTCAGGCTGAGGCTAAAAAGTCATATACTGTCTCCTTGTTTACAGTGTGCCATCATCACCCTTCTGAAATCATGACACAAAATACAGCAGGAGAGGAGGGAAGTAACTGTTAAGGGGCTAACCAGGAATACAGTCAAAAGACAGTAAAATCAGCATCTTAAAGATGGGATAGCTTGAACCGTTGCAAATTTATAATCTACATTATTGTAAATGAGAGTGAACAAATTCGAAGTTGGCATGTGGTAAATATTTTACAGAGACTGCTATTCCCATCTGATTTTTGAACAGAGAAATTTATAGTGAGGACATTTTAAAGCCACCAGCAGCTTGGAAATGGTTTCTAATTTCGGACCAGTGAAAGGGAATACACCCAAATGACTTAAAACCACACACTGTATGACACATCCAAATACATTTGCTGTTTCTCTAGGGGTAGAGGTCCCCTTTGGAAAATGAAGAACATTTATATAAAAACAAGAAATCACATCTTCAGTACGTTCACCCATGTCAGGTTCATTCCAGAGATACATAGCCACAGAATTTCATGTACACCAGGTTCAGGTAGGCTGTTCCCAACACCTGGAAATGGGCATTGCCAAAATAAACAGCACGACAGCCCCACACTCCTGTGCACATCATGTATATTTTGATATCCTTTCTGACCACTTCCAGTCCCAACTCCGTGCTTTAACACAGATTTGGGAAACGCTGTTTACTTCTGTAGAAACTATCACTGCATCATCTTGATCAGAAGTTGGGAAGAGCAGTAATTCTTCTTCATTTAAAAAAATACATTGGGGTTTGTAATCAATTCTTGCCAATGTTCTTTCTTGTTTCCCTCTGATTTTTACAGCCTCATACATTAACAGAAAGATCATAGAAATTCTGAAATGCCAGGTCTTTCCTTGCATTAAAACATCCTTTACAAAAATACAACTGCAAAATGAGACCTAAAAATGTTTTCCTTCTGTTTACATTTTATATTAATATAACTTTATATAAAAATTGTCATAAAAGATAAAATAACTTTGCAACTTGCATCTGCCAATAAAAGCTCTCCAAAAAATCAAAAGCAAAGCACAGCGTGTCATACAAAATGGAAAACAGGCAAATTCTTCCTTCAAAAATAAAAGATTCCTCTAGTATAAGTGCTTTCTCAAGAAATTCAAGAAATCTGGGAACTCCTAATAGTAATTTTCATAAAAATATTGCTATGAGAAGGCAAAATCTTGCTTCAAAATGTAATATTTTGCCATACTACCCAGTTTGTGGAGGGTTTTTTTGTTTTGGTAAGCACTCTTCATGTGAATTTTATTTTTTTTGTACTGTTTCTAAGTTTCATCATGAATCCATAACCACTAGTTTGCACTGCACAGATAGAAATTATGTAGTATCCAGGATAACGAGTAAACACTTTCCATTAAGAATTCAAATGGAGACTATTTCAATAGTTCTATTTGTTATACAGCCTGAGATAGGAAATGCAAACAGCTACCAACCATATTTATTTTGTAAACACAGTTAACCTAAATGGAATGACATTCAATGCTCCAGAGAACATCTGTTTCGTTATTTATTAAAGATATAACCAATGGGCCTTGTGCTGCGGGGTCATGGGAACATTGCTTTACTAAAAGGTTATCTGCTGGATCCACTCGGACTATATGCCTTCCAAACAACTTAAAACACATTTTCAAAGCTGATTCTTCCTTCATTTGTTTTGTTTATAAGATGTAAAGGAACTTGTTGCCTTATAAATATACACTTAAACATGAAGCACATCTGTTGCTGAGAAAGGACAAAACCCACAGCTTCTAAGAATGATACTGGATAAATAGATTTTTCAAGTTGTGTTTAACGTCTGACATAAGTAGTATTTATGAGTATAAAGTAATGATATAGAGGAGAAAGAACTATGGGAAATTATTATAATGAATGTCTACTGAATACATCGAACCTGTATATTATACTGAAATAATATAACAAACTACCAAATAATTCCATCCCAATCAATGGAATATACATGGTAATTAAGTTAAGCAGGGGTGTGTGCGTGGATTAAAAATGTTGTGGCATGTAAGGACAACTATAGTGCACTCACTACAAAGCAACACTACATGAGCTCACGTACTCCTGCATCTGACTGTAAGGAACTACAAAACACCAGCAAAGGCATTCTGATAAAACAATGAAATAAAATGAATAAATGCATCAAATCAGATCAAACTTTGAAGTCGGCCCTGCATGACTCAATGTCTATCATTCGCATCATCATTTGCTTTCTATAATATTAGTTTTCTATCATTGTGTGAAAATGCCTCCTGTATGATGTGTAAAATGAGTAAATCAATATGAATTAATTTTTTTTAAGAGCAGCAAGTGTGTTCTGACTATTATAGTTATTATTTTATATGCACACACGATGTCACTTATTCCAGGCAGAGTATAAAAAAAGAAGGCAAAGGAAAGCAGTATCAAAACTACTGCTGAAAAAGAAACTTTGCATGCCTGAAATCTCTCTTAAAATTCCTCTAATAGAAGAACCTTAAAAATACTAAAAAACTAACAAAAAGAGAGTGCACATTTCATCAGTATTTAATCTGATTTTCTCTTTCAATCCTATGCATTTTTTTTTATTTTTGATCAATTGAAGTATAGAAAACATTATTATCTTGCAAGTAAGTCTGAGAACATCTAGAGAAAGCTGAGAGATCTCAATACTCCCACCACAGATGATAAAACCTTTTTATCTTATTCCCTATATTGACATGGGCTTCTCATGCACTTAGAACTACCCTTGAATCCATAGTTCACACTTGAAGTAACTATATTAGTAATAATTACTACCTTGTCAGTACTAATTACTTACATTATTAACAGCAATTAACACTTATTAGTTGTTAATACAGTTTAATACTTCCCCATGTTAAATATGAATTAAGTGACTTACATTACTGAAGAAATAATATGATCGTCAGTATTTTTCAGATAGAGGTTAACTACTGAGTTAGAGGTAAGTTCCTGCAAATTTTCTTCAAATATCCTCTTTTAATCAATGTAAACTTTCAATAATTCCCAAAGCATAGCTGGCAGTCATATTTCATAGTAAACACAGGGAGCCAAGCCAGGATATGACAGATGAACTGCCAAATAATGGCTGCTATTTGCAAGAGAATTGAACTTTGCACTAAACTTGGCATAGATTAATTGTGAAACTCTAAAGGGAAAATCCACTTCTGTTTCCAAAATCCATCAAAATTATGAAGCGAGAAAGTGGCAATGGGAAAGCAATGGGAGAGTACTTGTTAAGCAGTGATGAATGATATGTTCTATTAAAATTCATGTTATTTTCATGTTAAAAAGTGAATTCTCTGCTATTATTGAGACAATCCCCCATTTTTATAAGTACAACTGAATGCAGTATAATATAATTAAACGAGGAAGGAAACTCTGGGCAATCGATATCACAGACATTTAAATATTTGCCTTGGAAAAACCTTTAAATTGGCAGAAATCTATCCAGTGCTCTGCAATTTGACTGCAGAGCGAGAGAGTGGATTTTCAGAGCCTGTCATGACATACATGGGTGCAGAATCCCTATAAAGATGAAGAGCAGTTGAGCATCTACACCCCATAGAGGTTTTTTTTAAAAAATCAATATATTATTCATGAGTCTCAAAGCTGAGAGATGCTTACAGAGACAGGAAGCTACAGAATCGCCCCAACCAGGTGATCTGTGCTGTACCTATTGTGAACCTATTGAAAGAAAACTGAAAATGGCACAGGAACCTTTAAAAAATAAATAACTGAGTTTATAGAAGTGACTTGCCCAGACAGCCAGCTAAAAGAGGTTGGGATTTGCTCCGAAGGCAGCCACACTCCAGCAGAGGGAAGCAGAAGAACACGGAGGCATCTCACCCAAATCTCACATTTTTCAGTCTATGCTTTGCCATTGAACTACATTTTGCCCCCCTGCAGCAGGATTGCCACCATTCCTGCCTTTTTTCTTTGTTTAGCACAAATGAGTCCATTTCCTTTATTGAACAGCAATGGAAAGCAACCCCCTGTGAGAAAACATTCCATAATTTTTCAGGATCAAAGACGGGGGTGTGCAATAATTGAAAGCGCATGGTTAACCAACAGCACATGTCAAACTGTGCTTTAACACATTACAAAACAGCTTATGAGCATTCTATTCCTGAATTCTTCCTAAAAGCTCCCTTTTGATTAGAATTTTATTCCCCTTGATAGCAACACTGCTATAATATACTATATTTTTGCAGGCATTAAATCCTCACATTGCTCTTAAGTGTAAGATATATAAAAAGCACTTTGTGTGAGGTTGCATCAATGGAGATTTTATATGCAAAGCAGTATCAGATTATTACTTGTTCAAGTCCTTTCGTAGTATGCAACTTGATAGTATCAATAATTGTCAGCAGAACCATGTATCGAAGACCAAAACCTCTGAAACTGCACCCATATTGTCTTTAATTTGGCATTTTCTAGGAAAGTCAGCTAGAACTGGTAAGATTTTTGGAAGGAATTTAAATTCAGACTGCAAATGGATCTGTCAGTGCCAGAGCCTGTACTAGAGATCAAAGTGGGGGGGAAAAATGACTTTTTTCCATCATTAATACCAAAACTCATACATTAACAAGGCGTTAG